GAACTATACCTGCTGCTAGAGTCTAATCTCCATGAGGAGAGGGATTTTTGTCTGCCTTGTTCACTGCTATATACCAAACACCTGATACAGTGCCTGGTACGTAGGAGGCAAGGAAAGTGGGCAGCCTCTAGAAGCTGCAAAAGGCAAGGAAACAAATTCTACTCTAGAGCCTCCAGAAGAAATGCAACCCTACCAATACCTTGATTTTAGCCCCATAAGACTGATTTTAGACCTTTGACCTCCTGAATAAATTTGTATTGTTTTAACCCACTGTGTCTGTGGCAATTTGTTACAGCAGCAAGAAGACACTAATGCAAACAATTCCCTAGTTTCTTATTCATGGTGAGATAGCTGGTAGACTGTCCCCAGATCAGAAACCCAGGAGCAGAGAGCAAGTGGGGTAAGGAGGTTGCCAGATTCATAGACCAGCAATTTATTTTTTGTAAGTTAAAATACCCCTGAAACAAAAATCCCTATCCCACCTTTCACATATTGACAAGAATGCTAGGAAAGGACAATATGTCAGTTGGGACCTAAAGATGAATTTGGTATCAGTTATTCAGATCTTGAGAAAACAACGGAAAAAGAACAAGAGCTCAGACCACAAACTTTATTTCTAAAAGCTTTTGAAGTCAGCTTCAAAACTAAAGGCAAATAAGAAATAATTTTAAAAACATTAAATAATATCAAACAAAAACATTAAATATTAAACAACATTAAATATCTATTGACAAATTATTTTGGCCTCCAGTAATACTAGTTCAAAGCAAGCATGGTCTGAGAATAATCAAAGTATCTAAGGTTAGTAAGTATAGTTGTGATTAATGCATTGAACCAAATGAAAATTTTAAAAAATATATGCGCACACACATAGATCTTGCCTTAGGAATAAAAGTATTTTGATATTTATTGAAAGTTAAAGCTCCCCACTATACTATAGCATAATAAAGATTATTAACATATAGAGTCACTTTAAAGATTAATGCATGGAGTTCAAGTTCTGCAGCTCCTGAAGTGGAGTGTGATATGGTTTTATTTTATTCGCTAGGGGACTTATTTCTCCTTCAGTCAAAGATCTCATATAATTTGAAGTTGCCTCTGTTTAATACATATTTATTATTTATTTGTCTAGATACATGTGAGTTTAATACTAAAATTAAGTCTTCAGGTATCGAATACTTTGTACTGAGTATGGAAATAAAAAATGTCTAATATCACCCATATGTGCACAGTTCTACTCTATTTAACTGTTTGTATATCATTACATTAGATGTTCCACTTGGTTTCTGAAAATTAAATGCATTTTCTTCTAATAGTGTAAAAGTGAAAGAAGAAATTTAAATACCTCAGTAAGTAACATCTTAGCAGTGATTTGTTACTTTACTCACCATGCCAATTTCTCCTCTGTTTAGCTCATTAGGCCTCTGGCATGGTAACAGTATTGTAGGAACAATGCTTTTCCGTGTATGGTTTCTAGGCTCAACTTCATCCAGGACCCCTGTCTGTACACCCAGTGTCCTTGTTCTCCATGCCCCATCTCACCCCTCTGCTCCAGTCATTGTAAAATACTCAGTCTCTGGAGCACAACATGATCTCAGAGTTCCATTGAAGGAATAGCTACTGAGCACCCACATGTGCTAGATGTACTGGCATTATCATGAGCATGATTATGAAGATTATAATGATAATGGAAGGCATTATCATTAATTAGATGACTATGACTTGGTAAAGGGTAGAGAAGCAGAACTCTTAAATGTGGTACCAAGCTGTCTCTGAGGTGATCCTACAGTAGGATCGGTAGGATCCCACAGATCCTACCTCTGTGACCAAGGTAGTTTATGATGGATTCAGCACAAGTGAACACTCTATTCCTCAGAGTTTATAGGATCTATTAACATAGTGCATCATGCAACAATCCGGGGATGGGGAGCAATGTGACTAACCAACCAACAGACTGATTGAAAAATGATTATTGATTCTGGATGTGTCCCTTTGACTTTATATTTTATTAGCCAAAAAGACAGATTTTCAGGTAGCGGAAGAACGAAGTCTCTAGTAAACAATAGAAGAAAGCCCACAGTCATGTGTTGTAGATGTCATAGAGAAAGTAGTCTGCAGGTTGTTTGGGTTAAAAAAAAAAAAGCTGGAAGTGTCCTTTTGACTGTCGTAGAGCCAGAGACATAAGGAAAGAAGAGAGGAAAAGATGATGTGCCAGCAAAAGGAAACGAATGCTCTTCCTCCTGGAAAAATCATGGTGAGCCTACATGAAGCCAAGGCAGCCAGCCCCTAGAGGTAGGAATAGATCAGGGTAAGGGGAAAAGAAGCAAGACAACTTTGAGAATCCCAGTGAGAATCCCGAGAAGGCATAACATGAAAGAAGTTTAGAAGTGAGGTCTCCCCACATAATTATACATTGTGAGCTAGCTGAAAGACAGTCTTCTCCATAGAATATAAACCCCACAAAGGTCGGAAATGCAAGTGGTGTGTTCACTGTTTAATCCACAGCCCTGAGTATAATGCCTGACCCTTAATATATACTCAAATGTTTGTTAAATGAATGAAGATCATCACCAAATCTAGAATTTCTTAGATTTGGGTAAGGGATCAGGGGTTACGAGTTTTATGTATAAATAAGCAAATTAACACTGTTTTATATTATACTTATAAATATTTATATCCAGAAATTCCTGGTCTATTTTTCAGATATTCCTATGAGTACTGATATTTGGAAGTTGATGTTGAATAGATGCAATATGCCAACTCTGCCACTTTCCGTGATATCTGAATCAAATTGTACCGCCATGTGTGATTTGAGGGAACCATTTCAGTCCTATTGAAGTCTGTAAGAGAATCAGTAGAATGCCTAGCATGGCATTTTTTTTAAGCTTATTATACATCAGGCAGAAGAATGTAGTGATACTGGAAACAGAATTCTAAATAGTTGATCTGAGTTCAATAATTTTTCAGAGACTAAATATCCTGGGCTATACTGTCAGCCATTTTATATATGAAAAAGTGTCCTTTAGCTTATAAGATGGGATGTAAATTGTACAGGAATAAGAAAACTTAAATTTTTAAAAGGCAAGAATGTAAAGTGATAAGTGAAAACAGATATTGAAGTACTAATGATGTAATTTGTAATGCAAAAACTCCACACCTGCTATCATTGGATGCTGCAGCACCCTCAAATACTAATAGGGTTCGGTTGTCAGGCCTGCAGGGTTACAGAAGGTAAGCATGCATCATCGAAGAAAAGACCAAAAATATGTGCTTTATCCAAACTTCAGCTGTCTACACTCAATTTGTTCTCTGACACTTTATGAAAACTGAGCTTACCAGATAGTTCACCACCATTCACAAAAGGAAGAGCAGGTTTGCAGGAAGAAAAAAACAATGAGTTTAGTTTTAGACATGTCAAATGTAGGTACCTGTGGAACATCTATACACAGAGAGCTTGTGAAATGATTCCAGTATTGATTTCCTCAGCGTTTGGAGCTTATTGCCTCAACCAGAGTCTGTTTTTTCCATTTATCAGAATGTCCTATTCAGATATGATCATTCCAATGTGTACCATGACCTAAATATGTTTGAGAAGCACAGGTCCAGTGGGCAACTGGATACATCAGTTTAGAATTCATGAGATGATGTCTGGACTAGAGATTTTTGGGTGCTGTCAGCACAGAGGTACTAGTAGAAAACACACAGAGGGACTTCCATTCCTGGCCTTGTTGGAGTAACTGGTACTAGACTTGCCCTCCTGTTGTAACAATTAGAACCCTGGACAAAATATATTAAAGAATTGTTTGTAGTCATTGAACAATGAACAGCACAGGACTATGACTGAAAAAGGGGAAACAAACAAGATAAGCCCTACCATGACCACAGCTAGCTACCTGAAAGCACTTTCTGGATGGTAGCAGTTGAAGAGATAAAGATCAAAGTTCAGAGAGGCTGAGGCAGCTAGAATTTGCAAGGCAGAGTACCAGAGATGAGGGAATCATGTAGAGAAAGAACTAAAAAATCTCTTACCTACGGGTCCCCTTGAGTCTGTCATTGAATACTAAGCCATGAGTGCCTAGGATGAAAATCCATGAGACTAGGCAAAGAAACATCACGGAGCTTTAAGCTGAACAATTCCTAGAATTCACATAAAGCTGGGAGATGTTTAAGTTCCAATCGGTAAGAATGAAGAGACAAAAGAAGTCAGAACTTAGTGGTAGGGCTAAACTAGCCAGTAAAAGACACTTTATATCTGTCCTAACAAGCTTAAAAAGAAGTATCAAATGCATTAAGCTGATCCACAAATAACTGCCTACAAAACAAAATTTAACACTGTTTAAAAAAGTCAACAAAATCGATACACTCAGTAAGTCATGATGCCCAGCATCCAATAAAAATTACTAGTCATATAAAAACAAGAAAAATGTGACCCATTACTAGGATAAAAATCAATCATTAGGAAAACACGTAGAGAAAGAAGCAAAGGGGGGTAAAGACAGAATGCTGGGAAATACCCAGATAAGATTTACAAGATGGAAAGAAGAAACAGGACCTGACAAGAGTCACTTGAAAGGAATAATACAAGATGTTAGAAAAATCGGGAGACTGTTGAGTCATAGAAGTCATATAGGGAGAAAGTTTCAAAAAGGAGGGAGTGGTCAAAAGGAGATGAAGCAAGATAGAGACTGAACACTGGATTTCACAAAAAGATACCTTCCAAGCCTGGCCAGAGTAGTTCCAATGGAGAGGTTGAGGTAGAAGCCAGATTGCAAAGGGTTTGAGGAAAGAATAAGATGTGAGGAAGGAGAGATGCTAGTCATTTCTTCAAGGCAAGACTTTCTGACACAGGGTAGGCAAATAGGTATACATTTTACCTTTGAAAATAGTTTTTAAAAAATAGCCTACAACTTTCTTTAGCAATGCCTCCTTTCTCTTACAGTCACATTTCTTCCTAATACACAACCAACCCCCAATAAGAATTATAAAATTAAAACTCTTACCAAAAAAGGCATTCAGCAGCTTCTGAACCTGAATATTGCTGCCCACAGTACGGTACAATCCCTCTGTCTTGATCCCTAGGGAAAAAAAAATCAGGTCAGTTTTGTTTATATAGCTAGAGCCTTCATCTCCCTCAGGGTAGAGAAAGTAGGTACCTACACGCTAGAGTCAGTTCCAACAGGAAAGGGTCTCCCTACTCTCTCCAAGTTCTCCAGCTCTCCCTTGCAAAAGGGGAACAGTCCTGAAGCATCTCTCCAAATTATTCTCTCCATACTTTCATTTGGATTGTACCAAGCCCTCATTAATCTGAACAGAAAAGAATACACTCTATAGTAAATAGAAAAATATGCTTAGGTGGGTAACAGCAGATGGCTTAGAATGGTATTGCCATCTTGGAAAGGAGCCAGGGTTTAATTGAAAGTGAAGAAATATCAACCTTCAAGTTGCCCCTGAGCAGTGATAGAAAAGACGAGAAGTCTGGAGTATGGTCGATATGTAACAAAAGGCCATTCTGTACATGGAAAAAGACTGAAGTAACATTTCAAAGAAAAAAAGAGGCTTGGCTCATACACTACATCTGCCCACATTCTAAATATTCTCAGAGAGAAACTAGAGACTATCGTTAGCCTGGATATATGCCGCTTCCATATTTGTCTGAGTTTAGCTTTGCCTTCATCAATTTTTAAACCAATATGTACTGTGGCAGAAACTGAGCTCTTATTTATTTAGAATGTAACCATCATAACACTATTTGAGGAGTGCCAGGTAGTATTTCAGAATACTTTATAAGCCATTTGAAGCTCTTTTTCTTTAAAAGCAGTAAACCACAAATTATCTAAATATGATTGGCTTGGATACCACTGCTTTGGAATTTGCTGAAATTTTACAAATTGTGTCTAATGCTCAAGGTTTATAAACAGACTTCATTCCTAAAATGGGTCCTGACCACTAGATGACATCATTGCTACTCTAGAGAAATTGCCCAGGATAAATTCAGACTGACTAGATTCAAACACTTCTAAGGCTATGGTGTTCATACCTTACCTTTGGTCTCAATGACATTGATGCACTTCCTAACAAACTTGAACCCCACTTCATTCAGCTCCACTGTTTCAAGCAAAGGAAAGCAGAGTTAGATCCTGCTGTAACAAGCCTCATCTATCAAACATTCAGTGATCATGCTAAGAGACTGTAGTGAAAGAACTAGGGGTTTGGTTGCTCATCTCCAATCACCCTTAAATGGAAAGATCCTTTTATTCAGGTGGAGTTTAGAGGTTTTACTCTTATAACACAAAATGCTTTTAGTTAGCCCTTTGCATTATGTCTGCTTTAGGCATGAGCAACATCAAATGTGAAATGTTAGGTTGGAAATGCACCCAATTTCTATCATGTGTCTAGAACAAAAGGATATGATGTGTTTATCTATATTACTACTACTACCTAAGATAAAGTGACTTCTGTAGTTAATCAACAGACACATTAAAAAAATAGATTTGAATTTCATTCCACACAGAGGCATCCATAAAAACACTTGCATCAACATTACATATCATTGATGATAGCATTTACTGTGATTAGGACAGCTGGCAGTTTATAATGTCAGTAGATCAGAAATTTTACTCACTTTCTTCCTGTTTTGTTATGGGGCTGTGGTAGATCTACAAAAGAAGACAAACAGAAAGAGCGGTGGTTATTTTGAATCACTATAGGTAAGTATGGCAAATAATACTAAATTTCTTTCCCTCAATAGGCCATCAAAACCATTAGCGACTCTAAGGATTTCACAAGAAGGAAAAGTGAGATAAACAGAATCATGTTTGCCCAGGTCCCTAGAAAATAGTTGGATTAACAATCCCTGAAGATTACCCTGGATTTCATACAGCTCATTGCAGCTGAAATTGTAGCCTGCCATCTTAGACATTAACTTATGTAAAGCTTGGAGAATTTTTCTGATGGAGCAAGAGAACATGAGAGAAAGGAAGTGGTTTTTCAAGGATACCATGGTAAGGGGCATTGATGGTAAAATTTAAATGTTCCCAATACCAACCTTCTACCCCAAAGATTAGTTAATGGGTGTTTCTCTGTGGAAAGGCAAGTGTCCATCTGAAACAGTGTCCATCATGGCACTGACCAAGATTTCTCTGAGTCATCTTGAAGTATGCATTGTGATAGCTATTTGAGAGACCAAAAAGGAGATCCTTGACTTTTGAAATCTAGTCCTGGCTCTGCTTCTACCTCATTATGAAATCTTGGGCATGTCCTTTTTGTTCTTGTTGTTCTTGACTTCAAAATTCATATCTCTAAAATGACCAGGGTTGGAGTAGATGTTCCTTCAAGTCCTGATCTTCTTTGACACTTCAACCAAAGGCATGAATAAAATGTGTAAGATTAGTAGATTGGAGTGTTTGGTAGAGCAGCAACAACATCAGCAATGTGAGGCTGCAGAAAATAAGCCCTTTATATGCCATCTGTTAGAGTCTCCTTTAACAATCTCTCCTTTTAAAAGAAAATTTTCTGCATATGTGTGTATCCCCATGGAAATTTACAGGACAGAGGTTTCTATGCTAGCCAGCCCTTGCTGCCACCTTTATAAACAAGATATTTGTGAAAAGTCTGACATAGGGGCTGGCCTGGTGGCATAGTGGTTAAGTTTACGTGCTCTGTTTTGGCAGCCCGGGGTTCACAGGTTCGAATCCCAGGCGCAGACTGATGCACCACTCATCAAGCCCTGCTGTGGTGGCATCCCACATACAAAAATAGAGAAAGATGGGCACAGATGTTAGCTCTGAGCCAATCTTCCTCAGCAAAAAGAGGAAGATTGGCAACATATATTAGCTCAGGGCCAATCTCCCTCACCAAAAAAAATAAATAAATAATAAGGGTCTGCCATAATCAATTTGGTAAGGATCCACATTCAGTGGGCCCATGTTCTAACATCATTCTGCACAAAAAGCCACCTGCATCCTTCAATCTTTAAAACCTAAAGGGAGAGCAAGTTCAGGAGAGGGAATCAAGAGTAAAATGCCTTGCTGAGCCTCCTAGCATCCTCCCAGAGAAACATCACAGGCATGAAATGTTTAAGCTCCAGGTTTCTGGGAGGAGAGGGAGGGGAGACAGGTCCTGGCCTACTTTCTGGATGGCAGTCTTCACAACACCACTTCTCTCCTGCTACCATCTTGGTTGCTATAAATGTAATGAGGGATCTGTACACTCCTCTTTAGTCTCCAGGGCACTGAGGACACACAGAAAGAAAACCCTGGAATATATTTCCCCTCTTATCAAGTTTTTGCCTTGAATAAAGCAAGGAGATTAGACTGTATCCAAATACTGTTGAATCTTGTAGCTTTGCACCCATCCTTCAGACCAGTTAGAAGCACCTAAAACCAATATAGCACATGATGGTTGACAGACTGGCTTTAATTTGATTTTTTAAAGCAATCCTGTGAGGTAGGTAGAACAGAGATTATTAAAACCATATTACTGAAGAGAAGAAATCTGAGTCTCAGAGAAATAAAATAACTTTTTCAAGGTCACACAACCATTGAATAGCAGAACCAAAATCCAAATCTAGGCTTTTGGGATTCCCACACTAGGAAGCTGATATTATTTCACATGCCACTAGAAGAAACCTACTTGGAAGATACTGAAGAGAGAAAATGCTTTTCAATTTCTGACTGTTCACATTGGTCTTTCTATGACGATCAGTAACCCTTTTAAGCTATTGCTTGTCCTCCTGTGTAACAGTGTTCTAGATGGTGTGGTACAGGATGGCACTGCCATCTCCACCAGCTGTACCCTTAAAGAGAAAAAGTTGACTTGGGGATGTAAGAGTGGGGCAGCAAGACCATTTTGAATAAAATCTTAATAAATGTTTGTTCACAGCCACGGCAATTATTTTCCATCCTTCTATATGAACACATCAATTTTATAAACTGAAAAAAAGGCTTTATTTTCTTTCTTAAGAAGATCTTGTGGGCACAGCTGCACAATCTAACACTGGAGCAAGAAGCTGAGAGACCTGGATTCTAGGCTCAGCTTTGATGCCTTCTCTGAGGGTGATCCTTGAGAAATCCCACACCCTCTCTAGAACTCAAGTTGCCTTACTTGTTAAAAAAGAGATATCAAATCAACAATTCCTTCTAGCTCTAAATTGAGTCTGAAGGGTCTATTATCATTTAATTGTCCTAGACCCACTGGTACCACTAGAGGGCACTCATACACTGGACTATTTTGCTAAGGTTCCCCCAGTGTCTGAGGTAAACTTACAGGTTCTTTCCCATCCATGGCCTCCATCCATAGCCTTCTGTTAGCTTCTGAAAGGGCCTGCAGAGTGATGGTTCCGGGCCTAAGGAAAAATGACAAGTTGAAAGCAGAAAACTCACCCGAGAGAATGGACTCTTGTAATCTAGGGTCCCTCTTAGCCCTGGGAGGGGTCACACTCAGCAGGCACAGGCATACAGAATTCCAATTTTTCAAAATCTTTTTTAGCCAGAAAAACAATGGTACATTTATAGAACAGTAACTTTGGGAACCCTGGGGCAGGTGGTATCTTGGTGGCCTCATGCCAGAGTCGGGCAAGGAAACAGGAAGGCAGATGCCAAGACACCTCACCACAATACACACTTAAATTGGCCCTATTGTGCTTGAGCAAAACTGAGGCTCTCCCTGCCTCTCTCTCTTGGAAGCTAGACATTTAGTCTGGGCTCTAGGGGTAAGCATGTTCATCACGGGCACATTCATCTATCAGGAAAATGGCTTTGCTACTTCCATCACCTAGGATGTCCAAGAAGCATTTCCAGTTGGAAAGAATTCAACAACGTGTACCTTGGCTCACCCATAGGGAGGAGGCCTTTTGGCTAACATAAGAAATCTTACAACTAATAATAAAAACTAATAGTTACTGAATGCTCACTAGGTGCCAGGTTCTGTTCTAAGTACTTTATAGGTATTAATTCATTTAATCTACCCAGGAAGCCTATAAAGCAGGTACTATAGTAATCCCTCTTTTACAGAAGGGAAAATTGAGGCACAAAGAGGTTACCTAAGTTCACATAGTGGCTAAGTATAAAGCCAGGATTTGAATTTAGGAATTCTGGTCCAGCAGCCATGTTCTTTCTTAACCACTACACTATAAGGCCTCTTCTGCATGGCAGATGGCCTCAAACCCAATTTTATTCTATTTACTTGCAGGCTACCTATATCCAGAGATACCCCAAGTTGGCATAATCTATATAGTCTTTTTAGACGTTCACAACCAAATTGGACATTTGGGACTGACCATATTATTGCAGGCATAAAGTCCCCTTGCATTCTCTGCCTAGCTGCGTCATTATCCGAAGCTTATTCCTCTCACTCCTTCTATGTTAAGATGAGACCTCTCTCAGAGTCACAAAATGATAAGAGCAATGACAAGAGAATTCAGAGACTCTGGAAAAGTCACTGGGCCTCTCTGGCCTGTTTCTTTATCCATAAGGGTGTTGGAACAGATGAACTGGGAAGTCCTTTCCACTTCTGATATCACAGGATTCCTGTTCTACCTGCTTTTCCATCTCTTACTTCATCAAAGTACTCCTTAAAAAGGAAAGCCCTCAAATGATCTTTAAGCCAGAATCAATTGGAAACCAGGACTTGGCTTTGGGCACTGGATTCTTTCAAGTTTACCATTCTCTAAGAAACACCCAACCTTTTGGATATGTCTTATGGGGCTAGAAAGTTTAGAAATCTTTGTAAAGACAGCTACTCAGCTGAATCCTGAAGCCAGAAGGAAGGAGAGCAAGCATGTGGGCAACAGACATAAAAGCAGACACTGCAGACCAGATATGATATTAAACCCATTCTGGAACTCAGGTTCCCTATATGGGAAATCGAAAAGCTGGTTTATGTTCTCTCTTGACCTTACAGAGAAGCTGAAAGAATAAATAAGTGACCACTCAGAAAGCATTTGGCGATTCTTGTGTGCTACAGAAAGTCAAATTCAAAGAACAACATTGTTAAGAACAAGATGACAAAGTAGAAGGAGTACTGCCTTCTAGTCCAGGCTCTTCCATTATGACCTTAGACAAATACTTTGCCCTCCCTGAGGTCTCAGTCACCCATCTGGAGCAAAAAGGCATATATAGCATATCTGAAGTAGAGTGTAGGGTAAGAGTGTGGGCTTGGAGACTAGAATGCCTGGATTTGGATCCTGGCTCTATTGTTTATTGGCTGTGTAACCTAAGTTGCTTAACTCCTCTCTGTCTTCTTGTCTTCCTTTGTGAAATTGGGATAATAATACCCTCACCTCATGTGGCTGTGGTGAAGACTAAAGGAAATTATACACTTAAAGGGCTGAGAATGGTGCCTGGCACATAGGAGGTACTCAATAATTGTTAGCAGTTGTTGTTGTTATTGTTATTGTTATTGTCCTTCAAGCTCTGATGGGCTATGAGCCTGTGGCTTCAAATACTGGTCGGAATACTAATAAAGAAGTTATCTTCTACTCCTGAAATAGAAAAAGGGACTCAAAAAGTCCTTTGTTCTATGCTGCAGGGAACATAAGTACAGGTGCCTGATGCCTGCTGGGAAGCCTGACTCTGTTCCTTATATCAGATTGACTAGCCAGGAAAGCAGATGTCACATCCCTCAGAAAACTCTGCCTCAGCACCTGTTCATTATTATATTTGACCCTCTATTTCACAGCATATTTATTCTGCTTATAGTAGACATGAAACAAAATTACAAAGAACAAGGGCTTAGGGGACCTAAAGACCAGGGTTTGAGCTCAGCCTTGCTGCTACGTCACTTTGATTGGGCAAGTCAGTTAAATATATTCAAGTCTCAGTCCCCTCACCTGTAAAATGGGGGAGGGGATTAAATGAGGGAATGTTTTTTAAAGTGCCCAATATGTGGTAACTAAAGTCATAGACACATCAAAACTTTGATTCTTGGGTTCTAGTGTCAAAATTCCTCAGCATTCGAGGTAGGAAAAACTACATTTAAAAATGAACACCAAATTTACTATCATCTACCAGGAGCCATGCATAGCACTAGGTACAAGATATATAAAGATGAATTGGTCCCAGCCCTTAACTTCAGGGCCAAACTGCAACTGATTTGAGACTATGAAAATACTATTTTTCATTAGCTTGCAAACTTAAGCTGAAAAGGGAATCAGAACTAGAGATAAAAATTTTAATGTATTTTAAGCACCATGCTGCCAGAGACACTAAAGGTTCATGAAAGGGAAGGCAGAGCCAACAGTAATTTTCCCCTTCCTACTTGGCCTGAAGCTGTCAGAAAAATGAGTGACAGCCTCATGGTTATAGATAACAATGTTTACCATCACAGCCATCTTTGATTGGGACCATCCATTTTTAACAAAGTAATCATACGAATTCACAAACAACCAAGTCCAAAGTTCGTAAGCCTTAGCTAAAGTCAGAAAGCTGATAACCAATTTCCACTGTACATAAACGTCTGCAAAGTAGGAAAGTCTGTATCATGTTTGCACCAAGTGGGGGAAAATAGACTCCCCAATACCACTACCACCCTTCATCTCATCTATCTTCCCTTAAAAATGTGTTCCAATTTACTTGGAGATTAAAAAAAAAAGAATGAGTTTGTTATCCCGTCTTTTATGCAGCATCACCAAATGCTGACCTTTTGCATATCTGATAGCAAATTAAATCCTAGGAGTGACTTTTTCTGCCTAGAGGAGGTGAAGCAAAGCTGACTGAAGCTTGCATAGAGAGCTCTGGGCCAGGTCTAACAGGGATCCCTGTGAAGGGCGGCCAGAAGAGCAAAGACAACACCGTCATGAATGTATTTGATCATTTTCATCAACAAGAGATGACAGAGGAAAATAAAAGACCTACCCAGGCCCAGCACCTGGCACATGGGGACATTGCCAATTCACACCAGCACAGCTTACCTTTCATTAGTTTCTATATCAAAACAGAACCTCTTGTCGATAGACTCTGTCTTCCTTCTCACGCAGTACTTCAGGGTTAAGTCCAAGGGACCCTGATATAAAAGAAGTATTAATAGCCAATTTGAAAACAAAATGCACAGAAGATTCTTCTGCCTCCTGCAGTGTCCTCAGTGCCACCTGGAAGGCATCTGTCAGGGAAGCAGGAGCAATGTGTAGCCTCACTGAGAACCTTGTCCCTTCAAATGGTAGTTGTAGCAAGATGGCAGATGGTTTCTCCCTGATCCAAGAAGCAATGGCTGAGAAGAGGAGAAAATGCTCAGGGTAGGCCAGCACTCTTTTCCAAGATTAAATAGGAAGCTCGTTACACATCATGTAAGGAAAGTGTAGGAGAAATGTGCTGCCCAAATGGCACTATACGTACAGAATAAAATTTGCATGAGACCTTTAGGTAGGGAGGTTGCAATCGGTAAGTGGCTTTCTGCAACCCTCCTTCCATTAAAGTGGCAGATGGAGGAGCGGAGACAAACATGTCTGTTACCCAACTCCAGACTCAAGGACGACAGGAATTGCAAAAGCAATCTCTCCAAAGATAGGGCAGAAGTAGGGAAAATAAGCAAATTTGTGTATTACTCAAGGTGGCATTTGTTATTTCCTATGTGCAGCATAGTGTGGCCCACCTTAGTCTTGTGGGCACTTAACAAGGCCATTGAATCTGTGTCTACAGATTAAAATTCCCCAGTCCCACATTGTTCAGTTTCTCTCTATTATCTCAACAGAGATAATGTGGTATAGGAAAGAGAAGTAACATTTATTGATCACCTACTATGTGCCACATATTACACTAGGTATTTTAAAACCAACTTTCTCCATAACAACTGTTAGAAAGAAGTGAAGCTCAGAAAGGTAAAATGGCTTACCCAAAGTCACCCAAGTCAGTATAGTGGAAATAGCAATAAACTAGGAAGCTTAAAACCTGGGGTCTTCTCTCAGTTATGCCATTTACTAGCTATGTGACCCGTGGCAAATCATTTTTCCTCTCTGCATCTTAACTTCACAATCTATTAAATGGGAATAATACTACCCACGTTGCTGCCTCAATTTAGAAACAGTGCCCAAGTGCCAGGTCTGTGCATAAGCACTATGCCATCCAAACTGGCCCATACAGACAATCATTCAGTACTTCTCTCATTGGCACACTCAATCCCCTTGCAGGCCTATCCTTTTGCTGCTCCTACACTATAAAAACTCAACGCTAAATTCATCCTTCAATCTGCCTTCCCTACCCCAACACTTAGGATATCAAGCATTGTTAGTCTTTCAACATGAGAGTGATTAACAGTATCATGTACTCACCCTATCTCTTTAAATTCTCAACTCCATTAGATTTGGTGGCATCACGGCTCAGGGGCCTAGGCTCTGCCCAGCACTCCAGGTTCACCTCCAGCCACCCCCATATGTTTTATGCCCCATCAGTGCAAAAGTAGTCTTATTTCACACATATATCATGCTCTTTCATGAATCCATAACCTTGCATATACTGTTTCCTCCACCCAAAATGACTTTATCTATATTCTTTGCCTGGCTAAACTCTTACTTGTTCTACAAACTGCAGTTCAGCTTTCATTTCCTCCAAAATCCTTCCCCAATCCCATACATTGCCCACTATGTTTTTTTCTGCATTATATTAAAGCTTCCTGTTTTCATGTTTGATTTCCTCATTTGACTAAGAACTCCTCAAGGACATGGGCAGTGTCTCATTTATCTTTACATATTTAGTACCTAGTAAAGAGTTAGTGCTCAATAAATATTTACGGACTACATTATCATTTATGCCATTTTTCTGATGAGGAAAATGATACTGGGCAACATCAAATAATTGGACAATTCTTAGCCAAGATCAAGAAGCTACTAGGCCACAGAGCTAGGATTTAAAACCAATTCTTGAGACATAAAATGTAGCACTCTTTCCTCTTACCACAGCTGCCTCACAGGGAAGGGATGAGAATCTTATAAAATGGTATTTAGAAAGGTGATCTATAAAGTGAGTAGCACAATACAAATGGAAGTTAACAGGCTGAACTAGTAGGAAACACTGGTAAGTACCACCAACAGAAAGAGGGCTAATTCCTCCATCTTCAAATTGCATTAATGATACTTCACAGTGCTGCTGGGAGAGTAAATGAGGCACATGACAGAAAGTATCTAGCTCAGAGCCTGGACCACAGCAGACATTCAATAAATAGTGGCTTTTTATGGTGGTATTATTATTATAGTCTCATTTATTTGTATTATTTGCCTTTCTAAAACACAAACTAGAAATAGGAACTGAGTCAGAGAACTGACAAGAAGAAATTATTTCCAACTCCAATTTAGGGAAATTCCTTCTAAATGAAGAACCAAGTTCCTCTTTATATTCCATAAGGAATCCCATATAAAACTGCTTAGGATGACACTATTGCAGTTTTGCAAGCAGCCACTCAATGAAAAGGGAAGAGGGAAAGAAAAACTAAAGTGAGCACTTGGCTCTCATCTGCTAGGAGAATATGAAAGTGGTATCTGCTGCCTCTGTCCTGAGCTTTGCATTAGGCACCTCTGAGCAAGAGAAAAGGGGCCTAAATGAGCTTACTATCTAAGAAAGGAACTTTAAAGTCTAGGATTTGGAAAGCAATATGTGTAGAAAAAGAAAAGGAAGAGACTACAAGACAGTGTTGCTCATAAGCACTTGCCAGTCAGATACATTAGCTAAGTTCTGACAGAACTGGAACGAATTCTGTGCCGCAGCACAAAATGAATTTATTGGAACCACATTAAAATGTGCTTTGGCAATTGGCAGACTGGAAACTAAGGAGAGTTTTGGAGTCATGAATGAGCGACTGGCCCACATAGAAGCACAGATGAGGGTTCTGGAAACCCCGTCTGGTTTGCTTCGTTAGAGATGCAGGCCATCTCCAATCCACACTCAAAGCAGAGAAGTACAGCTTGTGGTTAAAGACAGAGAAAAAGCAGTTTGTCAACAGCCTGCCACCAAATCTCAGTCTTCTTTTATTTCCCATGAACAAGCCACACAAGAGAGATCTTCCATGGAAAGCACCAGCAATGGAGAGAAATTGGCCCAATTTTTCTCCAAATTCCTGCCTAGCTAAATTGGGTCGCCATGCACCACAACTTTCAGTGCTAACAAGTGAACCTTGTTTTAGCTTGTAAACAATTTGTAAAGAACGGAAATCTTTAAAAAATTATGCCCTAAGACCCTGTCTTAGAGACAGTTTAAGCGACTCATTGAACTATTTTTAGAGTATGAATAGTCTGTCTATCTGTTTTTATCTTAAGAAACTGTCAAGGGAGAGAGAGAGAAAGAGGGTGTGTGTGTGTGTATGTGTATGTATTCCCAAAGCCCCTAAAAAGATAGGCAAAAGTAAGATGACAGAATAAATTTTTTGGCTGCATGGTCATATATCATATATCATGTCATGTCATGTCATATTATATATATAAGATCAGGTTCTTCCAGGTGAGTAAACTGTCTTCTCAGTGTGTTAAACTCATCTTGCCATTTTGGGAAGTAGGGCAAGGTTTGGAGGGCAGAAGAGGAGGCATTAACTGCTTAATGACATTTGAACATTACATAGAATGTGGGGTATAGGTTATCCCAACTTTAGGCAACAGACATACTGCTTTAAAAAAAGGAATTTGGGAAAATGATTTATATTTTAAACACTTGTTATTTAAAGGAACCCTATAGTAGAGCCTTCTGAAAAGCAAGTAATACTGTCCTCCTCCAATTCATCCATATTTTTGCAAATTTTCTTTGTACAATGTGACATGCACTTGTAATAATTTAATAAATTGCCTGAAAGAGTACAGGCACTTTCAGAAGGCCTGACACAAATAGATTTTTCACTCAACTGAGTAGTATCTGGCCCAATGCAAACTTAGGCCAAGGAGAATATATGAAGTCATGGTTTCACATGACAGTGATAGACTTGATACTTTGATAGTAAGTCAACATATACTCTTTTCTGAGACACAGTCACAGATGGATTTCAAAAAATGTGGCTCACAAAAGAACTGACCTGCTTAGCACCTGGCTTCTGCTCCATAGGCGTCATGGTGAGTGTTTTGGTCTCTTTCTCATACTGGCAGTAGTATTTCACCCAGGATATTCCCAAAGCCCCTACAAAGATAGGCAAAAGTGAGCTGACAGAATAAAATTTTTGGCTGCATGGTCAGGCCACCCCTAAGATCGAAGCTATGTACAGCTTGCTCTTCATGGTCATACTCTAGAACAAGCCCTACTCTTCCCCTGAGCTCCAGTCCTGCAGTGCCACCTGCCCACTGAATATATGGAGATCCTAACCCTCATCAATTGCTTTCCACATCTGCTCTGGCTTGCTCCAAACCACTCTCATTGCCATATTGCCTATGAATGCTACCACTAAACATCCTATGTTATAAGCTGGAAACATCTGTAATGTTCTGCTCCTCCTTCCTTGTAACCTGCCCAGCTTGATTGGTGGTTGGGTTCTGCCCATTCTATTACCTCCATGTCTCTCCTTCAGCTGTCTTCTTCTCTCTATCCCTTTTAGAACTTAATTAGTTGAGGAGTCTATTGCTGATGTCTTTTTTTTTTTAATGTTTTATGAGATAGTTCAAACAAAACAAAAATTCACTATTTCTCCAATCAATTACTTCAGTGGCCTTCTCTGTGGTTTCCTCCATCTCTGATCACTCCTTTTTAGTTTATTTTCTACTCTTTTGCTAGAGGAATATTTTTAAAACATATATCTCTACTCATGTCATTCTTCTTATTATAAACCATCCATGGATTTCCCACTATCTCCAAACTCCTTACATTGGCCCACAAACTCCTTCATAATGTGATCATCTGTACCTTTCCAACTTTGTGTTTTGCCATCCTCACCTCTATGCTCCTGTCTCATTTAATTGCTTTCAGTTACCAAATAAATAGGTGGTCATATAATTTACAGTTCAAATTGAAGACATATTTAAGAGTGAATGATGTACTATTAATAATTACATCAGGACAATGCGTATAAACCAAGGCTGTTCTTGGCAAACAAAGACCCTACAAATAAATTATGTTCTCACACACCTCTATGCCTTTACTCATGCAGTGGTATACACTTGGAATTTTCTTTTCCCTTTTCTTTACCTATCAAACTCTCATTCATAATTTAAGTTCCAATTCAAACATCACTTCTTCAGTGAAGCCCTTAGATATATGCCCCAAAAGCAGTGCTCAGCATATTTCATTATAATTCTTGATATACTTGTCTGTCTTCCTCCTCAGACTGTGAACTTCTTGAGGGCAAAAACCAAGGTTGATTCATTTTTTTGTATCCCTAATGTATTGCATATTGTCTGGCAAAAAGGATGCTCAGTAAGCATACATTCAACTGAGTAGCAACGTTATATTCATTTGACAAACTAGAAAACTGGGACATAGAAGGATCACATAGCTACTTGATATTAGAGCCAAGATTATAAACCCATTAGTCTGCACCTCTTTAACATATAGCAGTGGTTCTCAACCAGGGGCAATTTTGCCTCCCAGGGGATATCTGTCAGTGTCTGGAGACATTTTGGGTTGTCACACCTGGGGAATGCTATTAGAATAAAGTAGGGAGAAGCCATAGATGCTGTGAAACCCTATAATGCACAGGATGCCCCCCCCTAAAACAAAGAATTACCCAGCCTGAAATGTCAATAGTGTTGACTTGGAGAAATCCTGCAATGCAGAGTTGAAAAGACGAATCTGACAAGTGGAAGAACACATCTTTGAAAACCATCAAAAGTTAATTGTTTTAAGGGAGGAAAAGCATGATAATATCACTGCTGAAATGCCATGCTTTGTGGATTGCAGTGGTTTTTGCCATTGATAACCTCTGGGTAGCCTCTTCTGCCTACTCCCCAGGTGGAATAATTCTGAGCAGGAATTGAAATCACAGGCTTTGGGGGCATTGAGTCATAGTTCACAAGGAAAATCAAATAGCACATACACGTTTGCATAACGTTTTTTAGGAAGTAGGAAAGCTTAAATCCTCTGCAATATTCAGTGAATGGATAAGTTAACCCATTTTCCTCGGTTAGCAATGAACAACTGTCTCGCCCACTGAAATCATGATGGTCGTTTAGTGCTTTAAGAGCAACCACGTGATCCTAAGGCAGTGGAAGGTATAGGGTATAGTGGTAGGAGCATAGGTTTTGGCATTTCACAGACCTGAGTTTACTCTTAGGCCTACTACTTGATAGCTGGGTGACTTTCAACTAGCAATCTTTCTAAATCTCAGTGGCCTCATGTGTAAAATGGGAATGACAAGGTAGTTTCAAAGATTAAATGAGATAGTGTATTTAAAGCACTTAGCACCATGCCTGGCACAATACGTATAATAAATATTATTTTTCTGCCTCCTTTTCTGTGCCTCCCTTTTTGCCCCAGTCAAAGAGTCATTGGAAGGATTAAATGATTAACAATCCCCATTCTGAAAATCAGAGGAAACCTTAGGTCTTATCATCCCAGAGCCTTTGTAAGACAAATCCTTAACCTCTCCCTCCAATTTCTCTTTCCTTTTTATTTTCACTATTCCAAGGCTGCTCTCCAAAGAGATGTAGCTGTCAGGGGTCTATGAAAAATACGGGTGCCTGGAATTTGGAGAGGCCAAATGGCAGTAGGTGCCAGCCAATGGAAACTCAGTGAGTATCCCTGTATTCCCACACACATTTCTCTTGCGTATAGAGATAGCCTTCAATGGTAGGCTGTCCTGGAAGTTTGCATGTCTGGGGAGCTTCTTTCATCCTTTTCTTAAGTTCTTCCATCTCTTCCCGCGTACTGGAGAAATGATTTCTTGTCTGTCAAGACATTACCATCATAATCATTATCATCATCACCATCATCATGAATAAGCATTTATTGGTCAGAGACCCAGTGCAGAGTTTTCTCAGCTTTCATCATGTGCTACAACATAGCAAACAAACAAATGTTGAATGGTATAGTGACTAGAAAACAATTGTATGAAGTGTAAAGGACTAAAGGCTAAAAGGAAAAAGAAACATAAATAGCAATGTACCCATAAAACCACATCTGGGAGACTTTTTTTTCTAATGGGAATCACATAAGATGCCAATAAATAAGAGCTCTTAGAATTGAGCAACAGACTGACACTTGCTTTACCAAAAGGGAGACTGTAAAGAAGGTTCAAAGGATAACACTTTCACGGCAACTTCTAAGTTTTGCCTCATGTAAAGTTACTGCCTACTTGACTCTGAATCAAATTCTGGCCATTAGGATAAAATATATGAAAGGGTGCTCTCCTCGAAGATAGTTCAACAGAAAACTTACACTTTCAAACTCACGAATAACAAAAGTTAATGGTAAGAAGTAATATATTTAAAACTACATAACTAAAACACAGTGGCAAACACAGTTTGAAATGTGGGTATGAAAATCACTAGAGATAAGTCCTTAGTGTTCAGTCTCAAGATTGTCACATGACGTCTGCAAAAAAGGTGATCTTGGCTGCCCAATCAAGTTGGGCCCACTCTACTGATTATCCTGTAAATGAGTTTGCCATATATATATGCGCAAAGGCTTGTTGTTAAATTCATACTTGTCATAAGTCAGGATCCATCTAAACAATCAAGTGGCTTATTTCCACTGCAACTTACCATTCTTTCTCACCTAAAAATACATCTATAAATTTCATACAATATAACAACTACTCCAAAGTCACTACCTCAGTGATACCTTCTCTGACTGTACCAGGCAGTCAATTGTTCCACTCTCCATGTTTCTTTAAAATTTTTGGTCTTTATTGTAGCACTTATCATAAGGAATTATGATTTATCTGTGTTTAGGCTCTCTCCTCCAAGAACTGTATATTCCTTAAAAATAGAAAAAACTGACATGCCTTACTTATGTGCCTTTTACAAAGCCTAGCACAGAATATATATTCACTATATCTACAAGCATTCATTAAATGTGGGTTAAATAAATGAATGAGAAAAAGAATATATGTGACAAGGATGGGAAAGCTATGCCTATGCCCACCTACAAGAAACAGCATGGGAAAGAAGGTGCAGAGAACCCTTAAGAGAAATTTATTTAACTCTAGTAATAAGTAGTAAAAAAAAAAGAAGAGAGGGAAAAATGGGCATTCATGATAATAAAACCCACAATGAGAGTGTCTTGACTGACCAGCCAGGAAGTAGCATAAGACCTGTGCTTAAACAAGCCCATAGCTGGGTTCTGATCTGGGAGAGATGGAGCAAATTAGCGACACTTAATATTGGATAGATAGAGGTGTCACTGGGTGGAAGGGTGGGTTTGAACAACAGTCAGCCACAAAGACAGGGAGGGCCTGAAACTGGAAGAGCAAGAACAGTCTAGTTCACTAAAATATTTGTGATTCATACCAGTGTATCCTGACAAATTGGCTGGGATGCAATAATCTAGAATTCTAAGGTCAAGGTAATTGGGGCTGAAATTCAACTAGAATGTGGAGACAGGTAAAAAAAAACACACATGCAAACTCACATTCTGCAAACTGAGCTGGAGTTGTTGTTTGTATGGGAGAAAATCCTGTGTGAGCTCCACGGTCAAGCTGTTGGAAATGAAGAGGCTATGAAGAAAGGCCAAGACCTAGGGAAAACATGTAAAAATAACTTTATCAATCACAAGCACCTTCTCATTAATCAAATAAAGAAAACAAAAGCACAGAAAAGAAACTCTACACAATGTTTACCCAGTATAGTGTTAAAAGCAGTCACGCAAACACAAACAGGTCTACACATAGCTATTCTCTTGTTAGGTTAAACATTTACACTGAACTCAGTTTCAGAAAATACGAACTACTAACAAATTGATTCATTTGGATCCTTTTCAGATAGCATATAAAAACATTCATAATTTGGACAGTATGGGAATAGACTGTATCTTTTCTATCTATATCCTCAGAACCAGCACAGAGTAGTTACTCAATAAATATTTGTTGAATGAATAGATAAGTAAAAGGATAAATAATGAAGTAAGATTCTGTACCTTAATGAAGAATATCATAACGCTAAAAGATCCAAGGAGTCTTAACCCATTTTCAAATTAGAAATGTTTCAGAGGGGTTGCAGAAGAAGACATACAAATGATCAACAAAATATTTTTTTAATGTTCAAAATGTTCAACCCCATTAAAAATCCAATACACATAAATAAAAAATAAAAAATACGATTTTCATCTATCAAATACAAACATTTTAAAAATAATGCTCAATGCTGGCAATAGTAAAGTGTAATAGGAAGTAGTAAAACTTGTTCTATTCTTTTCAGAAAGTAAACAGGCAAATACATATAAATATGCACACACACACATACACACACACACCATATACATATACACATATATGTATATATATAAACAGAAACTATACAGATATGAATATATAAACATATATATTCAGATATATACATGTACTAAACACATGTGTGTATATGCGTGTGTGCATACATACATGTATGTACTAAACACATGTGTGTATATGCATATATATATATATATAAATGTATATGGGTGTGTGTGCCACACACACAGTCATATAGACAATCTCCTGTTTCTCTCCCAAGCTTTCCCAGCTCAGGAAATGACACCACCACCCTCTCAGTCAATCAAGCCAGAAACTAAAGAATCATCCCTGCTTTCTCTGTCACTCACATCTCAATCCAATCCATCAGTAATTCCTGTCAGTTTTGCCTCCAAAATCAATCTCTAATCCAGCCATTCTTTTTTATTTACACTACCACCACCCTAACCAAAGCCAACATCTTCTCTTGCCTTCTCTGCAGTAGAGTCCTAACTGGTTTCCTCACTTTCACTGTTGGCCTCTTCCAAGCCATTCTCCACACAACAAAATCAGCTCATTTCATATCCTATTTAACACCTGTCAGTGGTTTTCCACTACACTTAGACTAAAATCCAAACCCCTTACCATGCCTACAGGACCTATGCCTTCCTGTCAGACATTATTTCCTGCCACTCCCCTTTTCTCTTACCAGTATCTAAAAGCAAAAATCTTTTCATGCCTTGAACACACCTTTCTTTCCTAACTTAAGGACAGTGTGCATGTGTTTTTCTGTGCCTGGAATGTTCTTTCCCCATTATTCACATGGCCTCATCTTCTCTTTCTTTAGATCTTATCTTAAATGACACTTCCAGAAGTCCTCCTTGGCCACTTGATCTAAAGTAGCTGCCTATTCTTGTTCTTTGTTTTAGTCCTTATCACAACTTACAGTTATTTTTTTATGTGTATCCTTCTTTCCCTTCTGTCTACCCCATGAGAGTGTAGTCTTCATAAAGACAGAAACTGAGTCTGTCTTGTTCACTATAGGATACACAGTGTTTAACACAGTGTCTGGCACATAAGACAAGATCAATAAATGTTTATTGGATAAATTAGTAAATATCTGTTTGCACACATACATATACTGATATATACAAATGTGAGGACAGATGCACATGTACACAGATATACATGCTCATGTGCAATGCATATACACATATGTACACACACATGTACACATGTTTACACACACCCAGATCTACAAGTATACATGCACACATAGATAGAAAAAGAAATATAATCGATACACAGAGAATTTAGAATGGAAAATGCTACAATATTAACAGTGATTATCTCTGTAGGAGGTGTTTGTTGTTTTTGTTTTGTATTTCCTATAATTTTTTATAGCTTCTCTGCAATAAAAGTACATTGTTTTTATAATGAAAAAGAAAGTTTTTAAAATTCAACATGGCTTTCAAATCAGAGCACATTATCTTTTACAATAAATTAAGGAGATTTAAGTAGAAAAAATTAAAGTAGATAGAAGTAAAAGTAGTAGAATGAGAATTCATTGAGTGCAGGGACATGAGTTCCTAGCAAAGTGCCTGGTATATGATGGGTAATTTCAGAGGCTTTATGAACGTATGACAGGAAGGAAGGGAGGAGAACAAGGTAATAGGAAAGGTGACAGAGAAATTGAAGGAGAGAAGGAAGGAGAGAGGAAGAAAAGAAAAAGAAAGAAAACACCAGAGGTAGAGAGAGAAAATGTGCGAGGAAGGAGAGAGGGGGGAAGGGTGCTGAAGAGAGAGAGAATATTAGTGAGAGAGCAAGAACAATACAAGCCAGTGTGTCTACTTTATTGACTCATTATTAAGCATTGATTATTATTTACATTCTTTGAGATTCCAATTTTATGATCAAAGTTCTCCACATTTACCTGGCATTTGGTAAATATTTTTAGACCATTCATCAACAGATAGAACTTACTGGCTCCACAATATTGAACTTCTTGGACTCCTGAACTTCCTGGATTTGATAAACATAATCAAGGGAGGACTCGAAGAAATTGTGCCTCTCCTTGTCCACCTGAAGGTCTGCCTGTAGAAGAAGGGTAACAAATGACACAAATTGCCATAGTCATTCATGGAAATCAGTGCTTAAGGACTCAACATAATGCTAGAGCTAGATGAGAAGTTAGCTATCAAGTATTGATCTTATCTCTTTATTTTACAGATAGGGAACATGAAGCCAAGAGAAAGAAAGTGACTGATGCAAGACTTCAGGTTTCTGGTCCAAAAAGGTAGAAGCTTGGACGTTATCACGCCCATCCTCACAAAAGTAAAAAGCTGAAGAAGTTGAAAATCAACAACTCCTCTTACATCCAACAGAGAATTGAAGTCAGAGGGAAAACCATTGCCTCAAATATTGGATAGACACTTGAATATGGAGAATCAGAGCTTACCAGAGCAGAAGCCCAGAAGCAGAAGCCTGTTGCTGTAGCTAGAATCAGACTTTATTTAAAAGAAAACTCTCTAAGGAAATCCAAAGACGGCAGGGAAGACAAAAACGACGACAAGAATTTTAGCCTCTAACAACATCAGCTACAGCAAACTAAGTACTGATGAATTCCTAGCAGGATAAACAAAAAACCTCATACTAAAGGCCTATTTACTTCAGTTCCTTTTACCTGGAACATCATGTCCAACTTTCATCCAAAGATTACAGGGCATGAAAAAAGGCAAAAAAAAAAACCCCAAAACACCAAAAAACACAGTCTGAAGATAAAGAACAAGCATCAGAACCAAACTCAGATAAGGCAGACATGGAGAATGGTAGAATTATAAGACCCAGGAATTACAGCTAAGGGCTGTAACAGAAAAAGAGGACAATACACAAGACCAGATGGGTTATATAAGCAGAGATATGAAAACTTGAAGAAATAATCAAAAGGAAATTCTAGAAATCTAAAATATTAGCATAAACGAAGAACAACTTTCATGGGCTTATCAACAGACTGGACAAGGCTAGGAAAGGAATCAGTGAACTTGAACATATGTCAATAAAAACTTCAAAAAATGAAATGCAAAGAGAAAAAGAAATGAAAAAGATGGAGTAGAATTTTCAATATCTGTTGAACAGTTACAAAAGGTGTAAGATACATATACTAGGAATGCCAAAAGGAGAAGATGAACAAAAGAAATATTTAAAGTAATGATCAGAGAGAAGTCAAGATGGCGGCATACGCCGGGAGCAGCTCACAGGTATGCAGCTCTCCCTGGAGGCGCGGGGCCCTGAGCCGGGGAGCGCCCCCACTGTTGCCATTTTGTGGACCCAGCACAGTCGAGACCAGCGGCATAATATCTGAGTTTGCCTGCTACTAAAACATTGGGGAGTACCCCCAGAAAACCTGGTTCACAAAGAAACTAAAACCAGCTCTTAAAGGGCCC